GGAGGAGGAGGAGGAGGAGGAGGAGGAGGAGGAGGAGGAGGAGGAGGAGGAGAAGAATACAAGGAGGAGGAGAAGGAGGAGGAGGATAGGAGGAGGAGAAGGAGGAGGATAGGGAGGAGGAGGAGGAGGAGGAGGAGGAGGAGGAGGAGGAGGAGGAGGAGGAGAACGAGGAGGAGGAGAACGAGGAGGAGGAGAACGAGGAGGAGGAGAACGAGGAGAGAAGGGGGAGGAGAAGGAGCCTGGCCGTTTACAGAAAGCCTGATCGTTTAACTTCGACCGATTCTGGGTCGCCGGCGGCGTTCAACGTTGAGCGCTGGCGGCGGGTTCGCCGCCCGTGGACATGACGCGAACCTACCGTATGGATTTTTCAACTGGCGTTTGTTCTACACCCTGCGAAATGCTTAAGAAATCATGGGTTAAGAAATTCATAGTCTCAGAATTTGAATAAAAAACCACAATTTCCATTACAATCTTAAGATGTACATTGAAACGTTAAGAATAATCGAGACTCTGGCGGAAGAGTAAGTTTTCTTCAGCATCGCCCAGGGTGTAGATGTCGCCAGTGCGTCGAAGTCGTCGCCAACGCATCTCCGATGAGTCGCCGATGCGTCGCCAGTCCATTGGCGACGTCGGAGATGCCTCGGCGACGTCGGCGCGGAGGGAATGGGGCTCCGCATCGAGCCGCACTTCCGATGCATCGGCAAGGCGGCGGGATCCTCGGACCCCATCTGCTCGGACCCCCTTCGGCCTAGATCATCCGGCCCCAAGACCATCAGAAACGGAACCGGGGCGAACATCGGGAGCGGCAAAGAGGGGGGCGTCAAAGAGGGGGGGGTGCAAATCATGACCGGCGGCACGTGCGCGGCCCAGCGGGGGGGCCAGGGACGTAATGAAATAGGAAGAGGCGCCATGACATCTGGGAAACATCATGGCCCACGCCATGATATCCACCCCCCCCTGGTCATTACCCCCCCTCTTTTCCGCCCCCGAGAACAGCTGACGCTATAGGGAAGGGGCCGGGGCCACGAAGGCCGACTCGATCGATCGACCAACTCGCCTCCTGGGGATGCTGGAGCATCCCGCGGCCCCTGGGGCCAGGGCTCGTGCGGAGCAACAGGCCCTGGGGAACCCTGGCGACCCCTGGACGCCTCTCGGCGGCCTGCCCAGGGGGAAGGTAAGAGGGGGGCAGGCCTCCTCCGAGGGCGGCGAGGCTTCTCAGAAGCCCTCGAGCCTTCTGAGACGCCTCCTGGGCCTTCTCCGACGACGCTGGCGGCGACTCAGAAGGCGCGGGGGGCTTCTGAGAAGCTCCGCCGCCTGCTGAGAAGGCACACCCCCTCTCGCTTCCGCCCCCCTCCCGGGCGCGCCGCCGAGCATCCGAGTCATGGCTGCGGACTCCTCCGAGCCTGGCACCGACCTCCTCCTCCTCCTCCTCCTCCACCTCCTCCTCCTCCACCTCCTCCTCCTCCTCCGCCACCTCCTCCTCCTCCTCCTCCTCCTCCACCTCCTCCGCCTCCTCCTCCTCCTCCTCCTCCTCGACCATCTGCTTCTGAGGCGGCTCCGCGGAGGGCGGGAGGGCCTCGAAGCAGGCCCCCCCGCGCCCCCCAACGGTGAGCCGCCGCGCGCCCCTGCGCCATCCCCGGGGCGAGCCTGCGCCCCGACGGTGGGCTCCTGAGAGTCCCGCCCGGGGCCGGCCTCCTCAGCCACGCCCAGCAGTGGCGACGAGGGCTCCCAGGGACGGCACCTTCCAGAAAACCTCCAACATGACGACGACGACGACGACGACGACGGCGACGGCGACGGCGACAACGACGACGAAGACGACGACGCCCCCTTACTTCCCTGGACACCCGACGTATTGTTTTTTCCCGGAAAGGGCCTCCCAGGGTTCTCTCTTAGTAGGTTTAGCCCCGGCCTCGACTTGCGCAGGACCAGCGAAATTTGTCTGCTGTGAAGAACGAGGTCGCGCAGGGCCGGCGAATAGTTGTTCGATGATATCCCGAGCGAAACGCTTACTTTGCAGAACTTGTTGGGGATGTCTCGAGCGAAAGGCTTGTTGGTGTGAAAGACTGTCCTCTCCTGGGGACCAGAATTCAGAAGATCTCTCAAATGAAATGCTTGTTTTCACGTGCCCAGATCTTGAGGATGCCTTGAGCGAGACGCTTGGTTTCACGCGTCCAGGTTGCCCAGGCGGATGTCTAGCATGAGGATTTGTTGAAGGTGTCTCGAGCGAGACGCTTGCTTTCACGCGTCCAGGTCGCCCAGGCAGATGTTTAGCATGAGGATATGTTGCGGAAGTCTCGATCGAGACGCTTGTTTGCACGTGTCCAGATTGCCCAGGCGCATGTCTAGCATGAGGATGTGTTGAGAATGCCTTGAGTGAAACGCTTGTTTTCACGTGCCCAGGTCGCCCAGGCGGATGTCTAGCATGAGGAGGTGTTGAGGATGTCCAGAGCGAGACGCTTGTTTTCACATGCCCAGGTCGCCCAGGCGGACGTCTAACATGAAGATGTGTGAGAATGTCTCGAGCGAAACGCTTGCCTTCACGTTTCCAGGTCGCCCAGGCGGATGTCTAGCATGTGGATGTGTTGAGAATGTGTTGAGCGAAACGCTTGTTTTGAAGCGCTCAGGTCGCCGAGGCGGATGTCTAGCATGAGGATTTGGGCAGGATGTCTCGAGCGAGGTTTGTTTTCAAGTGTCCAGATCGCCCAAGCGGATGTCTAGCATAAGAAGGTGTTGAGGATGTGTTGAGCGAAACGCTTGTTTTCACGTGCCCAGGTCGCCCAGGCGGATGTCTAACATGAAGATCTTCGGAGGATGTTTCGAGCGAGACGCTCGATGTCGCGTGTCCTGGTCGCCCAGACGGGTGTCGAGCATGAGAATGTGTTGAGGATGTGTTGAGCGAAATGCTCGTTTTCAGGTGTCCAGGCCGCCCAGGCGGATGTCTAGAATGAGAAAGTATTGAGGATATGTTGAGAATGCCTTGAGTGAAACGCTTGTTTTCACGTGCCCAGGTCGCCCAGGCGGATGTCTAACATGAAGATCTTCGGAGGATGTTTCGAGCGATACGCTCGTTGTCGCGTGTCCAGGTCGCCCAGGCGGGTGTCGAGCATGAGAATGTGTTGAGGATGTGTTGAGCGAACTGCTCGTTTTCACGTGTCCAGGCCGCCCAGGCGGATGTCCAACATGAAGATGTGTTGAGGATGTCTCGAGCGAAACAGTTGCTTTCAGGTGTCCAGGTCGCTCAGGCGGATGTCTAGAATGAGGAGGTGTTGAAAACGCCCCTAACCAAACGCTCGTTTTCACATGCTCAATACTCAGGTCACCCAGGCGATCGTCTAACATGAAGATGTGTTGAGGATGTCTTGAGCTAACCACTTGCTTTCACGTGTCAAGTTCGCCCAGGCAGATGTCTAGCATGAGGATGTGTTAAGGATGTCCCGAGCGAGACGCTTGTCTTCACGTGCCCAGGTCGCCCAGGCGGATGTCTAGCATGAGGATTTGGGCAGGATGTCTCGAGCAAAACGCTTGTCCCCAACTCGTTCCGTAGCGCGTCCCCTTGGCATGTCCCGCGGTGCGTCCCCATGGCACGTCCCCTGACACGTCGCCTGGCGCGTTCCTTTGGACGTTCCGCGGCGCGTCCTCCTGGCATGTCCCCCTGGAAATCAGCCCGGGGGCAGCTACTATGTGCTCAGGCAGCTCGAGCTTAAGATCCAGATCACTTCGGACAGGACTCGGATGCAAAGGAGGACTCGATCCACAGCGCTGTAGAGCAAAATCGCGGCATGGCACATCGCAATTCAGCACGGCGCAGCACAGCACAGCCATCGGCATGGTACATCAAGATCGATACACTCAGCATTGCACTTGCCCGTCGTCCTATCAAGTGCCTTTGAAACGTTGCCATGCCTCACATCTCTATCTTCCTTTCCGGGCTCGTGGGTCGATCATGTTTTCAATCCGCGGCCCCGAATGTCTCGACCCCCTCCCCGGGAGTGGCTCTTCGTTCCAGACCCACCTTTGCTGGCCCTGGGCCCCGAAGACAGAATCCCGGGAGGCCGAGCTGCACGGTTTCCCCCGGGGCCGTAGGCGACCCGAGGAGGAGGAGGAGGAGGTGGAGGAGAGGGAGGGGGAGGAGAAGATGTAGGAGATGCAGGTGGAGGAGGAGGGAGGGAGAAGAGGAGAAGATGTAGGAGATGGAGGTGGAGGAGGAGGGAGGGAGAAGAGGAGGAGGAGGAGGAGGAGGAGGAGGAGGAGGGGTCGCCTAAGCCCTTCGGAGAAACCCTCCAGGCCGGGCTGGAGGAAACACGGCGGGAGTTATTACCCCTGCGCAGCCTCCCACGATTGCAGCTGGCTCTCGGGCCCCAGCTCGGCTCTCCCCCGCGGCCGCTCGGGAGACCACCCGGGCACCGCCGGAAACGCCCTCGACGAGGCGCAGCCACCCCGAGGCTGGACAACCGCCGAGAAGCAACGACATCTCCCGAACACCTCGAACCTCAAGCAGAGAAAACTCCAGGTTTTTTTTTTTTTGTTCCCCCCCCCCCCAAAAAATAAAAAAAAACTACAGGTTTGCGTCCGTGAGCCGCCGGCCTGCGATGTACAGGGTGGTGCTCGATCCCCGGCTGAGCCCCAGCGCCAGCGTGCAGCCGCCGGGCACGCCCTCGCCCCACTGCTGGGCGGCCTTGCTGGCGGGGTCGGAGACGTCGTACTCCGAGCCCACCACGGGCTGCCTCATGTCCCTGTCAGGGGGACATCACAAACCAAAGACGGCAGGTTCGTGTCGTGTCGACCCCGACGTTGGTTCCTAACACCGCGGGGATCGTTCAACCTTGAACGATCGGCCGTTTCCGAAACGTCCCAATCGCTCCACATCGAACGATTCTGGGTCCCCCGCGGCGTTCAACGTTGAACGCCGCTGGCGGGGTCGCCGCTGGTCGACACGACACGAACCTACCGTAATAAGGGCGCAGGGTGAGGATGCAAAGGGCCTTGGAAGGCCATGTCGACGCCTTGCGAGCGGGGCGCGGCCAGCGAGAGCGGCCAAGGGTGGGCCGAAGGGGAAGGATGCAAGGGTACCAGCTGGAAAGTTGCTCATCCTCATGATGCGGGTTGACTGAACAACTCGGAGGTCCGAGCGGATTTCGCGGATCGGCGCCGGGGCCCCCATGGCGGCGCCTCCGGCGCGCTCCGCGCGCCAGGGAGGGGGGTCCGGCGCCGATCCAAGAATCTCCGCACCTCCGCGCTTGTTCTGCCGACGTCGTGATCTGATCCCCGACCTGTCCAGGTAAACCTTGGCCATGCTGCCCTTGGCGAGGGGAGGCGGATGAGGAGGCGAGGCGGCGCCCCGCTTGCCCCCGTGAGGGCATCCGCGCGCGGGGCTGGGAGGGGGCGCGGGGGCGCAGCTCCTTCGGTCGAGGGGGAGCACGTTTCTGCTGGCACGCCGCACGTAGCCATCCTCCAAGTGTGACCACGCGCGGGCAAGATTCGCATCCATATCCACTGCGCCATGGGGCTTCGATTCCCCTCCCCCGGGAACCCGAGGTGCCGTCGACAGGGATCACAATCTGACCCCTCGCAGCTGGGTGTCTACACATGTCCACTGCGCTTCGGCCTTAGGGAACCGCTTCCCAGAACGTCCAAAGAGGCAGTGGATATAGATAGATAATCGATACCTCGTCCGCACCACGACTCGTTCTTCGACGCAACGCTTTGCCAGTTCTCCCCACGTGCTGTGCGAATGAGCTCTGCCAGATCGTCAATCCACCTTCTGTGCGGTCGCTGTGGTAGCCGCTTTGCGCATCGGTGCTGGTAGGGAAAGGAGGCGGGGCAGGAAGAGGCCGACGAGGAAGAGGGGAGCTCTGGAACCCGCTGCCAGCAGGCGCCCACAGACCCCAAAGAGGCTCCGAGAGGCCCCTACGAGGCCCCCCAGAGATGCCCCTAGGGGGAGGAGGAGGAGGAGGAGGAGGAGGAGGAGGAGGAGGAGGAGGAGGAGGAGGAGGAGGAGGAGGAGGAGGAAAAGGAGGGAGGAGGAGAGGAGGGAGGAGGAGGAGGAGGAGGAGGAGAGGAGGAGGAGGAGGCGGGGGGAGGAGGAGGAGGGAGGAGGAGGAGAAGGAGGAGGAGGAGGAGGAGAAGGGGCCCCTCGAGTGGTTCTCAGGATGCAGAAGCCCTCACCTTCCGCGCGCCCGCCGCCGGGGCGGCCCGGCCCCGGACACGAGGAGGGGGGGCGCGACGAGCCCCGGGCCCTGGAGGGCGCCGCCGCGGGGGAGCGCGGGGGGCGCCTGGAGCCCTGAGCGGCGGAGTGGTTGTGCGGAGGAGGCGGAAAAGGAGGAGGAGGAGGAGGAGGAGGAGGAGGAGGAGGAGGAGGAGGAGGAGGAGGAGGAGGAGGAGAGGAGGAGGAAAGCAGGAGGAAGAGGAGGAGGAAGAGGAGGTGGCGGAGGAAGAGGAGAAGGAGGGAGGAGGATGAGGAGGAGGGAGGAGGAGGAGGAGGAGGAGGAGGAGGAGGAGGAGGAGGAGGAGGAGGAGGAGGAGTGGAGGAGGAGGGAGAATAGGATGAGGATGATGATGAGGATGAGGAGGACGAGGAGGAGGAGGAGGAGGGAGAAGGATGATGATGATGATGATGTTGATGATGATGATGATGATGATGATGCTGATAATGATGGCACGCCGTTAAAGACGGGTTCCCGAGATCCGCGCGACTCAGGAGCGCCAGCGCCAGCCGTCACATCGACACTAGGTGGGGAAGAAAAGAAACCAGGCGAAAGGGAAAGAAATAGCAAAGAGAAGAACCTATAATGATACGCTGAACCCAGTTTGTGACTTGAACCCTACAGACGGCGTTCATTTTTGAATCCTCAAAGAACTCAAATATAAGGGTAATGAAATCACTTTGAACTGAGACGGCAGTCCATAGAGCGACATGGGAGATCCCGTGATCAGAAGCAATTGAAGGTAAGATGGGCAAATCAACGGTAGACACAGAGAGTAGAGAATAAGAACCCAAACTGGTTTAGGAAAGAACATGTGGAGAAAACAGCACTGTGAACCCAAGTCAGCGTGCGCAACATGAAGAACGCCGACTTGTTTGAGAAGTTCGCATCGCGTGCCAACCCAAGATCCCTAACGTTTTGTAGTGTGCAGGATCTAGTGAAGGAGAGGAAGGAACGCCTTCTTTAGTCGTACATCGACGGAGCTGCCCTCCACTTCCAGCACTCGACAACACCATCGTCAGTCCAATCGAGGCTGTCCAAGTACCAAATCACGTTCTGGGCCCAGTCGCTCTCTGGATATACCCAAACCGCGTGGTACGCGTGCTTCCACAACTTTGTATAGGACTCGTCACGCTCACTGCAGTGCCACCAGCCCGAGCCCTTGTGCCACTTAGTCCTCGGGCTGGCGAGGAGAGAAACAGGAGTAGCTTTGCGCTCTCCCATGCTGCGAGCACAGGTTGAGATAACCCACTGTGAAGCGGGCGGTGCATGAGCGCGCGTGGGGGAACCCCAGGCTGAGAAACGATATGGCAAGCCGCAAAGGGAGGCGCGGTGCCGACTCCGTTTGAAGCTGAAATAGCGATTGAATGGACACAATGCAACGTGCACAGCCAGAAGCGGCCCACGGAGAAAGGAACTCCACAGACGCTGCGGGGACGAAGACTAGCGATCGAACCGACGATGCTTCTCCACCTGGCTCCAGTCCACCCAAGCGCTGAGAGGGCATTCCGTAACCCAGAAGCCATATTCGATCGAGGCCCGAGGCGCATCCGCCTATCAACATCAAACCATTGGACAGTGCACGGTGAGACAGAACACCAAAAACACGAAGACGGACCCCACGCTTGAAACTTAACTGGAAGAGAGTACACGCGATTATAGCACAGCGGAGAAGTTTGCAGTAGGGCGAACAAGTCGTCAGTCGCCAGAAAGTGTTCTGGCCTCAAATGCCCATGACCATCGCCACGTTGGATGACAACGGGATCATTGAGTAGGGAACATAAGGTCGAACCAGGAGGCATATAAACAAACTAAGCGCACAGCGTATGCAATGGCACAGATACAAACTTCGAGCGCCAAGTGGCCGTGATACAAGACGCCTCGACAGTTTCACATCATATACCCCACGCGACGCAAGGTACCCAAGATGCCCACAGTAAGTAAATGATGGCACGCCAAAAGCTCCGCTTCTGAATAGAAGAAAACATCTGCCGCATGTAAGATCGGTCCCCAATCATCAGGTTCGCACATGGTAGACGAGACCTGTACCTGAAAGGAAACAACGCTTGGATGGAGGGGGCAAGATGAAGACCACCCGCATGATATGGCAAGACAGCCCTCAATCAAGTCGAGCTCGAGACTAGAAACCCACCTTGGGAGGTCATGCCAATCGGACGACAAAGAAAGGGCACACTTCCGAGGAAATACCCTAAATCCCACCCAGGAGGAGGGAACCCAGAGAGGCAGGCGAGAGGTGGTATTCTGTTTTTTTAAGGCGCAGCCTCGGCCAAGCAGCCTCGGCCAAGCCATCTGAACAGCCCACTTGCCTGTCAGTAGAGCGGCACTAGAAGACGCGCCAACCCAGAGATATGAAGGCCTCGAGCGAGGCGCGCCGGCAATGTGAACTGTGAGGAACCCAACTACAACATGAAAGATATCCAGAAAGGATGAAGGAAGCAGGAGCCCACCATGAAGTACCCAATTCAGCATGCTGACCTTGGCTCGCAAAGAAGATGGCACCTCGCCGGTGCGTCCTGGGAGCCGCAGTAGACAGAAATCAGATCGCTCACATCTTCCACCCCTGCCATTTTGAGAGGGGGGACCAGGACCTCGCCACCCTTAATATTCCTGGGGCCGCTCACTGATTTGGCATGGGGAATGACCTGCGGGCCAACTTCTTCGGCTTCGTCGCGCGTCTCAAGAGAGGAACCGTGCAACTTCATCTCCGACCGATCCGCGAAGGCAAACCCACCGCGATGAAGAACGTCGAGGACATCGCTGGCCCTCAAGAAACCTTTCCCTTGAACGGCAGGAATTCCAAGGTTGCTGAGGAGAGGGCCTTGATTGTCGACAACGAAAGGCGCGAGCTCCTTCGCCGCGAAAATAGAGCCTGCCCCGGCATCGCGAGCGGAGAACGTGACAATGGCAAAGACAAAGACTACCATACAAGTCCCCCTGCCCGCTTTTATCGAAATCCGACCCATCTGAAGGAGGAGAGATCGGACAGCCATCTTCATCCTCCTTGATCTGGGGCTTGAGAACGGGCGGGCCGATCGGGCCGATCCAATGAAGGCTTGACGGCGTGCTCCCACGGTTTGGCTGGAGGGGTTCGAGGCCTGGGAAATGCTCTAGCATCCGCGGGCTCATCGCTGGAATCGGTAGAGCTGGACCCGCTGGCTTCCACAAGGGTTCCCCCCTTGGAGATGTCTTCCTGAGCGTCTGCAGGGCCAACTGACTCGTAGTCCCGTGTAGCAGACATGCTCTTACCCTCAGGGGAACCAGCGCCACCTCCTGATGGGCCATAACCACCGGGTGCCACTTTGCGCCGTGCAATCGGGGACCTGCTTCGGCTCCTGCTGACGGACCCCTCCGGAGCCGCCTCAGTAGCGACAGGTGCAGGCGGCGGAGGTGGAGGCAAAGGGTTCTTAGGCAAAGCCGGTGTCGAGATCTTCGGAGTGGGCTCCAAAATGGTCTTTCTGCATTTCCCCGGCAAATATTTCAAAAGCTTCTGCTACTCAGCCGAACCCAAAGGAATGCCTTCGTTGCCTTCCTTACCATCTGAAGCCATGTTGCGATTGAATGCCCAGCGACCCAGAGCCTTGCGATCGAAAGAACCCAGAGGAGCAGTGGGGGTGATTTGAGGAGAACCCAGAGGAAAAGTGGGAGTGATTTGACACCAGACCTCGTCTAGGTCAGGAGAAAGTAGATTGGCCGAATAAGAGATTGTCGTGATAAGACCTCTGATCAGAGACGGGGTGAAGAAAAGTGCGAAAGCGCAGCGCATACTTGAGCCGAGCCACCGGGAGGGAGAGAAAGGATAATGCATAATCCAATCAAACATGCCCCGAGCCAGTTGATGACGCACCTTCTTATCTCGAGAACCCTCAGGAGAGAAACGGAAGGTCCAAGACCTGTAATCGCATCGAAAAACATGGCCCCTGTGAGTTCTAGAATTGTTTCGGCTGCCTCCTAAGCTATCAAAACACATATGCTCTGAAACCCAATGTTTACAATGGCGAAAAAGCCTGGGATACTGATCCCCAGGATGCCTCTGCATGTGTGCAAGCCAGCTGATTGCCGACTCCAGATAAACAAGTGCCCAGCAGACGTCCCTGTGCTGTTTGACTTTCCTGTTTCCCCTAAGGTTAAACTGGTCGGATGCCTCCCCAGACGGCCTTTCCGTTTTAAACGCGAGTTTAACGAGTTTGTTCTGATTTGGGGAATCAAATCCGAAGTCTGGAAGGAACCCAAGGAACACCCCTCGACCTGAAGATTTCACAGGCCATACTGTTAAGTTTCGCAAGCCGTGTGCTCATAGGAGTCGTGCCATTCACAAGAAATTGAGGATTGGACCAGAACGCGCTGCTATTCTGCTGAAGCCCCCTTCACACATCCGCATTACATGACCCGCTGGAAGGCAAAATGGGACCGAGAACCCTGGCCTCACACGCGACTGCCCACTGAGAACCATATGCATCCGTCCTGTCGTAGCTGGCGAAAGCGCGGGGATCGGAAGCGAGAATCTCCCTGTCTGGTCTGAGACGAAGCCCGTGCAACTTCCAGAGAACCCCTTTTCAAGGACATTAGCGAGCCGAGTTAAATCTTCGAGGCTGGAACATATCGTCAAAATGTTGCCTGGCCAACTGAGGGGAGAGAGAGTGAAGCCCATTCCCAAGGTCTCGCTGCTATGTTGGATGCCCAGGGGCGCCCCGCACATCTTTTCAGGAGCACAGCTGAAACAGCATTCCACGGTGATTCTTGCAAGCGCGCATGCAGTGCCAACTCCCTGCATCAATCCTTTTCGGCGATCAATCGCATCCGTCTCTGAATCCAACGTGGAAATGGTGACCCTGGGATTCTTGTGAAGTCTCCGGCAAACCGCTGCTAAACAGCGACTGACTCCTCTGCCATCGAGGCTTTGGAGCGCCAGACCATAACGCATTCGATCGCGATGAGCTTTGATGTCTGTGATGCCCAACATGCCATTGTTGAAATAGTCGCGGCCATACTCAAGTATGAGATAAACTGAAGTATGAAGCTCTTGGAGTTGGCCCCCTTTCTCCAACCCGTAGATGAGGCTAGAAATGCCTTTTGGCTGAGTGCAGTTATCCGAGGTGGGCAGGATGGAACGAGCAGTGAATTCATGGCAGACCCACGCAATCGTAGGCTGAGGAATGACAGCTCGAGTTTGAGACGGCAGACCGAAGCCCTTGATTTTGTTACCTAGATGCCCTTGGAAAATGATGCCCGGCCAGAAGGTGTTGAAACCCAAAGCCGCTTGAATGCTGCAAGGGTTGATCCTATTCGTCCATCCTGCAATCTTCATCATGGCAGTACAACCCAAGTAGGTATCTGTCTTACGGGGATCCTTGATGTCATCAGAAGCCTCATCCAAGATGTCTTGAGCAACCGGTGTCTCAAAGTCGCCGAAGATGCCAAAGCTGCGAAGCATGCGATCGTCTTCCCTCTTGTCGGCCTCTGAGAGACCCCACCTGACCGAATGCTCCTGGCAGACAAGCTGGGCGCGCGTTGCATGGTCGAGGACCTTCTGACCATCTTGAAGAAAACGAAAAGAACGGGCAGGATGGTGGCAACCTTCAAGCCAGACTGGAAGGAGGCCAACACGAAATGACCTCCAATCGCATCTGACATATTTCGCACGTTTTCTGAGAGAACGATGAATCTGGATACCCATGGCTCTGCGCCCAGGGCCAGGGCGATGGCGGCGGAATGCGTGACCACCACTCGAGGTAGGAGAGAGTTCCCCATTCCCCTTCTTCGGGACCGCTCCTAAAGTTCACCCCTCAGCGTGCAATAATGCATCAGCACTTCAGCTCGAGTAAGCCCTAGATATCTTGGGTTGCCGCATCATCTGCGCATCTGCCCTGAACGTTCAGAGCGCAGACGGGCCCCCGAACATGCTCGTGCCCCCCCGCCCCCCCCCCCCCCCCCCCCCCCCCCCCCCCCCTTTTTCATCTCTGGAGGGCTACGTCTACCGCCTTGCGAACCGCCTCCTTGTACTGGGCCGCTGGGATCCTTTCGAAACAAACATCATCACAGTCCCATCCCCCTGAAATAACCGCCCCGATGATATGATCTTCCACCCAGATCTTACGAGAGCGAGCACAAATCTCAAAGGAGTCGGCGTTCCGTTCCATGGCGGCTGCGACGGCGCCTGCCGCCGCCTTGGAAAGCCTCCCTGGAGCCGTGTTCCTCCCTCGTGCTGATCTGACCACACCAAATCGGCCTGTCCCCGTGACCAAAGAAAGCCCTCTGGCGGATTGCCTCAGCAGCTGAAATCACCTCTGCAACCGAGGCCCATTTGATCTTAACACAACTGCCGCAGCCGTAGGGGGCGACAATGTCCACAGGCTGGGCGACCCCGCTCGACGGATGACAGCCCTGGCTGCCTCGAGAGCTGTTCTTCAGATTCCAACCCAGATCTGAAAGGATGAATATGTCTCCCTGAACGAGGGACGCTGGCCCAGGGAGGCCCGCTTGTCTGAGAAGGACCCACAACTACAGGAGAGGCCTGGTTGGCTGTAATTTCAGCCCTAATCGCCTTCTGTTCGGTCTCAATCAACTGAATAGTAGTATCCCCATAGGCCCTGAGAGTCCTATTCTCGAGTTTGAATGCTTCAATATGTGCTGCATCGCTGCTGACGCCCTCAACTACTGTCGAGAGCTCTTGAGCAACACCCGTCCGGAAAACATGCATGTTATACGAGATCGCATCAATCTGTTCTTCAAACGAAACGAACTTTCTGCCTAGTAAATCTTCAAGTTGCGGAAAATTCCGAACTGCTGGCGGCCGCGGAGCCCGAATAACCTAAAGAAGAGCCATGCTCCCCGAGAGGAACAACATTCGAATCCGTGGTGCCCCCGTTTGAACTGCGAGGCTTTTTGGTGCTGCGTTCAACGTTATCCTTGTGCACCCTGGCAACCTTACGGGCCCCTGGTGTGGTGATTTCCTATTTGAGAAAATTCTGGAAGACCTGTCCAATCCGAAGCGCCATTGTGGAGATCTGAACCAACCCACCCTGAAGGAAATCACAACTGAACTTCGAAGGGGCACTACCCATTCTGAACCAGAAAAAACTTGAAAGAGCCGCAACCCAATCGAAGCAACCCGAACGTACGCTAGCGGAGGAGGGGGAAGGAGGGGTTGATGAAGGAGGAGGAAGGGGAATAAAAGGAGGAGGAAGGATGATGAGGAGGAGGGGGGAGGAGGGAGGAGAGGGGGGAGGAGGAGGGGAGGGGAGGAGGAGCGAGGAGGAGGATGGAGGAGGAGGAGGAGGAGGAGGAGGAGGAGAGAGTAGGAGGAGGAGCAGAGGAGGAGGAGGAGGCGGAGGAATAGAAAGACGAGGAGGGGGAGGCGGATGGAGGAGTATACGGAGGAGGGGTGAGGAGGAGTCGGGGACGAGGAATAAGTAGAAGGAGGAGGAGGCGGAGGAGGAGGAGGAGGAGGAGGCGGAGGAGGAGGAGCAGGAGGAGGAGGAGGGTGAGAGGAGGTGGGGAGGAGGAGGAAAGAGGGAGGAGGGAGGAGGAGGGGGAGGGAGAGGAGGAGGAGGAGGAGGAGGAGGAGGAGGAGGAGGAGGAGGAGGAGGGAGGAAGAGGAGGAGGAGGAGGAGTAGGAGGAGGAGGAGGAGGAGGAGGAGGAGGAGGGAGGGAGTCATGAGGAGGAGGAGGAGGAGGAGGAGGAGGAGGAGGAGGAGGAGACCTCGATCGGCCCCCGGCAGAATATGACGCCGTCGGCCCACTCGTTGTTGGTGAGCGTCATGACCGTCGTGCCCTCCGGCTCGGGCCCGATAATTCGCCGACCCCAGGAAAGTCACTGGCGTGTGAGACCACTCCCTCCCCCTCCTCCCCCGAACCCCGCCAATCCGCAATACTCCTCATCCTGCTTGGCCTCTTCATACTGCTCCTGCTCCTGCTCCTGCTCCTTCTCCTCCTCCTCCTCCTCAGCCACTCTTGCCATATGGCACTCCCGAGTGCCACGCTGGAGCTTTGGAGTGTAACGCAAGATTGTAGCGCAATATTGCAACTATGGTGTTGTAGCGAGCTAGCTTTGTCGATCACATCCAACAGCTCCCGCAACGATCGTGCTCATGCTAGCGCTCCGAAACCACGTTGGCCGAAGATCCGCAATCATACGGCCCCAACTGATCTTCAGTCTTCAGTATGTCGATCTGCGGTTTCAGTCCAACGCGGCTCGCCCTGTTCATCTTATGCCTCCCATGGCAAGCTGCAAAGGATTCCCTACGGCCGGAACCAAGACATAATAATATCCTTCATGTGAACACGAGACCCTCCGCCGGCCGGACCGAAGAACATTCGAGGGCACCCTCCCCCAGGATGCACAAGAACATCTGACAAACACGAAGCACGCTAGGGCACCCTCCCCCAGCCGACCTCGATGCGATGCCTCGGTCCGACCGTATTCCGCTTCCTCTCGACGCACCCATAGTGCTCATGTCTTAGCTAAGAGGGAACAACGCCATCAGCATTCACTTTTGCTCCGCGCGGACTTCTTGGAGCGGCGCTGGACCCCCCCCCCACTGGCGCGCCGAGCTCGCCAGGGGCGGCGCCGGAGGCGCCGCCAGGGAGGGCCCCAGGCGCCGAGCCAAGAGACCCGCGCGGAGCGCCACAGGTTGCTGCCCACGCGTGTGGCGCTTCTTTGCCCTCGAGGTCCGGGCGCTCGATGGCCCTTCGACGGGCGGGCGGGGCCGGCGGTGCGCCGCCGGAGCGCCACAGGTTGCTGCCCACGCGTGTGCGCTTCTTCGTCCTCGAGGTCCGGGCGCTCGATGGCCCTTCGACGGGCGGGCGGGGCCGGCGGCGCACCGCCGGTGGCGCCGGGCGGGAGCCAGCGCGCGGCCCCCGCAGGCGGCGCGCCAGCTCGCCCCCGGCGGCGAGGGCGCCCCGCGGAGCCGCGGCAGCCGCCAGAGCACGGCCAGGGGGCCGCCGCCCCGCGAGGCGGCGCCCCGCGAGCGGCCCCGAGGGCCTTCTGCGCGCGCGCTCGCCCCCGCACGGAGCCGAGCGCGAGTCGGGCGCCGAGCGAGGGGGCAAAAAAAAACAGCGCGAGCACGGAGCCGAGCGCCGGACGGAGCGCGGAGCACGGAGCCGGGAGAGCGCGGGCGCCGGACGGACGGAGCACAGCGCGAGGGCGCGAGCACGGAGCCGAGCGCCGAGCGCGAGTCGGGCGCCGAGCGAGGGGGCGGGGGCGGAAAAAACCCGGGGGCGAAACAAAAAAAACCGGGGGCGAGCAAAACAAAAAAGAAGAAAACGAGGGGGAACCAACAAAAAAAACGGGGGTGAGAAACCCCCGAGGTTTTTTTTCACCCCCAGGTTTCTTTTTCACCCCCGAGGGTTTTGTTTCAGCCCCGAGGGTGAGAAGGAGAAGGCCTTCTCAGAAGGCGGCGGGACTTCTCAGAAGCCCTCGCGCCTTCGGAGAGGCCTGCCGTGTCTCCGGGGGGTGGGGGCTCAGAGAACTTCTCGGAAGGCTGGGGGACTTCCGAGACTCCTGAGAAGGCCCGCCCTTTCTCGCTTCCCCCCCTCGCTCGCCGCCCAGCGAAGTCCCGAAGCTGGTCAAGCGGGGCTGGAGAAGCGGGGAAGCAGGCGCCGGGTGCCGAGAGCAAGGAGATGGGGCGGCCACGTGCCCCTTGCGGGGAGCGAAGACACCTCAGACACCTCGTCGGCCAGGGCGCCCAGCCCTGGGTCGTCGCACTCAGACGCAGACGGGGCTATAGTCTATCTGAGATGGGCGCGGCCGTCAGAGCCGTCGGTGGCTCGTCTGAGGGCGTATGCTGGCCAGCGTCAAGAAAGAGGTGGTCGCAGAGCAGGAAAGCATCGAGGAGACCTTGCTCCGAGAGAAGCCTTTGGCGGCCCAGTTCCGCCAGTTGGCGAACACGTGCCAGGCGCTGGGGACGAAACGCGACAAGCAGCACATCGACGTCCAGAGCCTGCTTGAAAAGCAGGCAAGCAGGCATACGTAATAGGCCGACCAGATCCAAGAGCGAGGCCGCCGTCACGGCGACCGCCCAGGAGCTGGCCGAAGCAGAAAACCAGCGGCGGTGAGAAGCCGCCCCTACGAAACCATCCCCAGGTGGCCGCAGAGCCGCTCAAGGACCCCAGCGACAGGCCACCATTCGCCCAGAATCCGAAGCAACTCAATGACTGTGCTTCTGTTGTCCGCCCTCTCGCTTCAAGCTGCCCTCCGAGGCCTCGAGATGGCTTCAAAAGATGGCTCCGAGAATCCCTAGAGGGGGGCCCAGCACAGGCCCGAGGCGGCCGCAACGGTGCCGAGAGCCGCCCGGGGAGCGCCGCAAAAGGGCCTCAAGAGGCGACTTGTCGCGGCCCCCCGCGACGTGGACACGGAGGGGGGGGGGTTCGCCGGGAGGTCCTGCTTCCTCAGCGCCCAGGTGAAAGCCGAGGGCAACCTTCGCAGGCCTCCGTCACTGCTCCTCTTCCTCCGCTGAGCAGCGGACCCCTCCTCCTCTTCCTCCTCCTCCTCCTCCTCCTCCTGCTCATCCTCCTCATGTTCATTCTCCTCCCTCCTCCTCCTCCTCCTCCTCCTCCTCCTCCTCCTCCTCCTCCTCCTCCTCCTTTTTCCATGGTAGCGTTTTGCTAAAGGGGTCCAACAGCGGTAAAAAACAACAACCGCAGAACAGCTCCCACAAGGGGGGGGGGGCGGGGAGCCCGAGGCCGCCCGCCCGAGATCGCCCGGCGCGGCAGCCGTTTCGCCCGCGACCTCTCTCACTCGGCGGTGGACAAGCCCCCCTTTTGAGTAAACCTCCCCTTTAATAGGGGGGAAACAAACCTACCTCGCTTTTGACCACCCTCGCTTCCTAGAGATACCAAGCGATGCCAAACCACGGTCTGTGCTGGTCAGGCCGCGCTTGACGAGGAGGCGCGTGGTATGACTTGGTCTTGTCTGGAAGCGAAAGCGGGGTAGGTAATTCACGCTGTGACTTAAAGAAAACGGCCTGGGACCGAAACCGACGGACCCGGACCCGCAAAAAGGACGGCCGCGACGCCCTCCCGCGAGCCGAAAACGGCCAATTCCTCAATCGTCGCGTCAGGGCAGGAGGTCTGTCCACCTCCGATTCAAGTAGGGGAACGAGAAGCGGCATGAACATAAGAACTCGGAGGTCCGCGCGGATTTCTCTGATCGGCGCTGGACCCCCCTCCCTGGAGCGCGGAGCGCGCCAGGGGCGGCGCTGGAGGCGCCGCTGGGGGGCCCCAGCGCCGATCCGAGAAATCCGCGCGGACCTCCGAGTTGTTATGTTTATGCCACTTTTTGTTCCCCTATCAATGTACTCTGGAATCGCGCACCCATCATCGGTCAGTGCTCTTGCCGAGACCTACCCAAAGGTGTCTTGGAGCACTCGACTATGGGCTGTATGGATCTAGCACATAACACCCCTCTACGGTATTCCAGAATTCCGCTCGAAGTTAAACTTCTAGTCAACCATAGATGTTCGTGACCGCTATAGGTGCTGTACTCCGGAATCGTGCTCTCGCCTCAACGCAGGCTGCATCTCTGGTACTGGCGGCCATGATCCTTCTGTCAAATACACTATGTTGCACATGGCCGCGCTCTCAGCCCATGTCCCCAGTGTTTTTTTCGTTGTCAGGGTTTTCCTGCCATGTCTCTTCTACTCTTCGACTCGCCTCTTTACTTGTGCTCGTCCTCCTCATCCCCCTCTTCGCGTTGGACCGACGCTGGCTCGCGTGAGCCGTCGCGTCTAGATGGCCGCGATTCGAGGACATTGAATCGGAACCCGGCGCTCGATCAACCTCAACGGTGTAAAACCAGTGCATCAATGAAAGAGCTGAGATGGACGAAAAACGCTGGACGGGACCAGAGACTAGAAGCCCGCAAGGGCACAGAGCAATGCATTCTTTCAAATGCGGAAGGGAAGCCCAGTGGCAAGAGCAAACGACACATAAGCGGGGGGGAGGGGGAGGAAGGGGGAGGGGCGGCCCCAGCTGGCGCCGCCGCTACGGGCCAGCCAACAGTTCCGCGAGCTCTAGGAGCTGCAGCGCCGTGAGGCGCAGCACGTGCTGGGCGACCCCGCCGCGGGCCGCAGCGGGGCGCCGCCCCCCCGGCCGGCCGAGGCGGCGCGCGGCGGCCCCCGCCTCGGGCCAGCCGCCGCGCTGGAGAAGGTGCGCGCACCTCCGCGCGCACCTCCGCGGCGGCTTCGTCGGCCGCCGCGCCCGCGGCAGCGGCTGCGCCACCGCCTCGGCGGCGCCTCGGCGGCGCGGGCCGCTGCCTCCGCGCGCGCGCGCCCGCCGCGGCGAGCGCCGCGGCCTGGGCGGGGCCCGGCGCCCCTGGCCCGCGCGCCCTCGGTGGGCAATTGGCAGCCGCCGGCGGGCCCCGTGACCCCTGCGAACTCCCCCGGCCGCCAGGTCAGCCCACCCACGCCCCTCCGGCCTGCGAGCCCACCGCGGGGTCGCCACCGCGGCGACCGCCGGCGCGCGCCACGGCGCCTGCCCGTGGCCCGTCGGCCCAGCGGGCCCCGCTTCGCCCTGCGGGGACGCTGGGGCCGGGGTGCCCGGCGGTGATCAGCCGCCAGCCGGCCGGGCCGCTGCAGGCCACTCGAGCGCGTCGCATTCGAGCTCGATGCCGCCAGCGAGCCGTCGCCCACGAGGCGCCGGCGCCGCTGGCCGACGCGGCGGCCGCGCCGCCGCCTGGCCCTGCTCCCGGCGCTGCCGCTCCCCGCGGCGCTGCCGTCGGAGCTCCCGCTCCAGGCGTTGCCGCCCCCCGCAACGCATGCCGTTGGAGCCCCCGCCCCTGTCGGTGCCGCCGCTGGCGGGGCTGCCGCAGCAGCCCCTGCTCCTGGCGCTTCCCCCGCTGGCGGAGCTGCCGTCGGAGCCTTCTCCGTGGCCGCCCCCGCCGGGGGCTGCTGCTGCTGCTGTTGCTGCTGCTGCTGCTGCTGCTGCTGCTGCTGCTGCTGCTGCTGCTGATGCCGCTGCCGCTGCTGCTGCTGCTGCTGCTGCTGCTGCTGCTGCTGCTGCTGCTGCTGCTGCTGCTGGTCTTACGGCCTCGATTCTAGGATGAAGGACGAGGCAGGGAGAGGGAGAAAGGAACGCTCGTGCCCTGCACGCACCGTCCCACGCCTCTCTCTCTCTCTCTATCTCTCTCTCTCTCTCTCTCCCCCTTTTCCTAGGCCCTGAACTGCTGGAGTTTGGAATCCAGCTGCTGGCTCACGTCCTCGAGAAGATCCCTCTTGGGCCTGCATCTCCACGGGCCGTCAAAGCAAGTCAAGAAAGAAGAGGAGGAGACACGCTAGAACGGGAATCGGGAAACAAATCGTTACAGCTCCAACGATCTGCGCAGCCGCACAGATCACAAGCACTGAGCTGAGCAAGAACACTGCAGCACCGTTCACGAGGGCTCTCACAAGTGAGTTCTGGCTAAGCTCGATGCTTAACGAGACTGAAACAACATGTGCAGAGGGAAGGCGTAGGTGAGGGGAGGAACTAATGCACTCTGCTGCTGCTGCTGCTGCTGCTGCTGCTGCTGCTGCTGCTGCTGCTGCTGCTGCTGCTGCTGCTGCTGCTTGAACTGCCCTCGGGTCGCTGGCGCTCCATGCGCTGGCGGCGCGTCGCCGGCGCGCTGTCGCTCGGGCTGCGTGAGCGCGCCCTGCGCTGGCGCCAGCGGCACCCAGAAGCCTGCGCCGCCCGCCCCTTGCCAGCCAGCGGGCTGCGGGCGCGCGCGGGCGGATCGGCGCGGCTCCTGAGAAGGGGCCGCGGCCGTCACCCGCTCGCAAGTCAGCGTCTTCTCCAACTTCGGGGGCCGCCAGCCTCCGGCCAGCCAGCGGGCTGCGCGGGCGCGCGCGGGCGGCTCGGCGCGGCTCCTGGGGGCCGCCGCTGTCTCCCGCTCACCAAGGTGCGCCTTCCCCCACCAAGTGGGGGTGTCAGCGGGGCTGGGCGTGGCGTGACCTGTCTCCGCCCAGGGCTGCCGACGGCGCCCGCTCGCCCTCCAGAGGCCGCCTCGGCGCCTCCGAGGGGCGCTGCGCCACCCTCGGCGCAGTCGCCGGCGGCTCCTGCGGACTCCTCCCCTCCAGCAGCCCCGCGCCAGAGGCGCACGCTCGACCGCGCCGGGCGCAGACAGGCAGGGCACCGGGCAGAGCCACCCCAAGCCGGGAGGGCAGGGCCCAGGAGGCAGAGCCACGCAGGCCCCCCCGGCTGCCACGCGGCGGCATGGCTGCCCTGCACGCCCTGCCGCGCCCCGCTCGAGCAGGGCGTGTGGGCCCCCCGCCTTAGCCGCCCCGCTTGAGCCAAAATGGCTACACACACCGGCATGCACGCCGAGCAAACACACTCCTCCTCCTCCTCCTCCTCCTCCTCCTCCTCCTCCTCCTCCTCCTCCTCCTCCTCCTCGTCCTTCTCCTCCTCCTCCTCTCTCCCCCCTCCTCGTCCTCCCTCCTCCTCGTCCTCCTCCTCCGTCCCCGCTCCCCGCCTCCGCGCGAGGGAAGAGCAGGCGAGCGAGGTTGCGGCGTGCGGGCGTCCGCGCGAAGGGCTGCCAGGAGGAGGCGCCGGGGAGCTGCCAGGCAGCGCGCCGTCAACGACCGCCCAGATTGTGTCATCCCTACTAAAGAGAGAGGAGGAGGAGGGAGGAGGAGGAGGAGGAGGAGGAGAGGAGGAGGAGGAGGAGGAGGAGGAGGAGGACGAAGGAGCAGGAGGAGGAGGAGAAGGAAGAGGAGGAGAAGGGGAGGAGGAGGAGGAGGAGGAGGAGGAGGAGGAGGAGGAGGAGGAGGAGGAGGAGTTAGGCTACGTCTTCATTGCGATATTATTCTATGCTCGAGGGGGTGAGGGTATTGGGTAGGGAACTGTTGGATGAAAGATCCGATGCCTGCCAGACAGAGGCTCGGCCGGGCTCGGCCGCGGGTATCGTCGCCGCCCTCATCATATATATATATATATATAATCTTCCAGGGTCTGAAATTTTCTGGGCACATGACTTAACATAGCGGGCGAATAACGGCATAACATAGACTGTCCCGCCGTCGGGGACGCCTGTCCGCCTGGCCGCTGGAAAATTTCTACCCCTACGTGGCACCGTGGGGTATGAACTTTCCAGCCGCCCTGGGGGGCAGGCGTCCCCAACGGCGGAAAAGGCCGCCCTCATCGGATAAGGAAACCTCCCGTGTCTGAAATTTCTCACGCACGTTGCCTAACTTAGCGCCCCCACCGCGTCTTACTCTTGAGGGGGTGCTGCGAAGGTCACAGCCCGGGCGGTGCACTGCCAGTGCTGCTGGGCCGCGGCGCCAGTGGTACGGGGCCTCGCTCGGAGGATGCTGCGGGAATCTCGCCATAGCCCACGTGGGGCCCGGGGGGCCCTCGCACGCCGCCGGCATGCAGCCCCGAGGCTCCCGGCAAGGGCCGAAGAAGCGTTCAAGATGCCCACCCTACGATTAGGCATAGAAGGACCCCAAGCCCTTTGGGAGGCGACCTAAGTTTGGAGGGCCAAACGCAATAGGGACAGGTGTCTTTTCTGCAGTTGTACCACGCCAAACCGCCCAGATTTATTTTCCCTGATGCAGAGGCGGGAACCTCAGTGAGGCCACGTCTTCACTGCGTTACTAGGCTTAAGGGTTATTTTCTCCTCGATGGCACCAGGCCGAGCTCATAGTATGGTCCATGCTGCTTACAAAACAACACTTGCACGCGCAGAGGCTCTCAAGTGCCCTTCCAGCCGCTGCTCGCAGCTGGAGATCTGGAGATTCGATTGCCGCCACGATGGCTGGCGGTGCGTGGCGCTACGGCCCCCTTAGCTCCACTGAGCTGAACTTCGATGTACGAGTTTCCGGCGGTGGTGCGGTCGCGCCCGATAGGTCGCGATAGAATCCCACGCGATGGGGTCCCACACGACGAGGTCCCTCGCGACGGGGCCCCACGCGACAGAATCCCCGCGCGACAGAACACAACGCTACAGGCCCCCACAGGATTGGGCCTTTCTTCTTTCTTATGGTCAGGGCACGCCACGATGTTCCCCGCATGCGGCGCCTGTTGTGAGGCAACCGTGGACGGCTTCTCGTACTGAGCCCGAGGGCAGAAGTACCACTGCTGCCACTGGGTCCGATTGGGCCCCGCACGCGATAGGGTCCCACACGCGAGAAGGTCCCACCCCTCCAAGCCCACAGATGGTCTCACCCCCCAGGCTCCCGAAAACCATGGGGCCATGCCCCAAGGGGGCCCCGCCCCGCAGATAGCACCCCGCAGACCTGCACCCCGCAGCCCACGCCCACTACACCCTGCGAAGCGCTTAAGAAATCATGGGTTAAGAAATTCATAGTCTCAGAAGTTGAATAAAAGCCGAACATTTCTAGTAACATCGGAAGATTTACATCGAAACGTTAAGAATAATCGAGACTCTGGCCGAAAACTTAAGTTTTCTTAAGCATCGCCTAAGGTGTAGGCTGCACAGAGGCACTGCTCTGGACCCATGCCGGTGTCGTCGTGGGCCACAGGGCAGGGCCACTCCTGCTCGGCGCTCCGCGGCGGCGGCCCCGGAGCGACGCGCTGCGCCCCGCAAGCGGATGGCCACGGCGTGCCGCTCCGCTCTGCGGGGCGAGGGGCAGAGAGACGCTCGGGACGCTGACGCTCACGGGGACGGGGACGTGAGCAGCGGGTCGCGCCGCAGCGCGGCGGGCCAGAACGAGCGGCCCGCAGAGCCCGACAGCGGCCCGAAGACGCTCCCGGACGATCCACGCGCGCCCTCGAGATCTCCAACCGGACCCCAGCACCGCACGCCGCTGGGAAGCATCCCGAAAGGCCCCAAGACGATTGAACAAGTGGCAAGAGGACGACGGGGGGTATCGTCGCAAGCCCGATGATGCTGCGCACTCGGAAGGAGTGGAAGAGGCGGAGGATGGTGGAGGCGGGGAGTCCAGGAGGAGACGCAAAGGAGGAGGAGGAGGAGGAGGAGGCATGGAGACGTGGAGACAACGTCAATCCAAAGATTGTTCGGCGCGACGGCCGCGACGCCACCGCCGGGAGAGCCGTCCAATCCTGTCAGCAGCAAACGGGCAGCGGGCCCACCGCCACTTGGACCAAAGGGACCGAAAACCACGAAACCATGGAGCGGAGGCCCGAACCTGGGACGGCCCCAGGACAGCCCCAGGACCCCCGCTGACAGGAGAAGACCCCCCCCGCTCGCGGCCACCAGCGCCCTGCAGCTCGCCGACAGACTGCTCCAGGATGGTGCCGTCCAGGAGGCCCGCCTCCTGGAGCTTCTCCCCCTGCTGGCGCCGCTGGTCCAGCAGCTCCTCTTTCTTCTCCGCGGCCTGCACTGCGTCGATGCCCTCGTTCAGCGTGCCGACTGTCCTTGTCATTCTCTTCGCGCCGCTGCGCGTCCACAATGCACTCCTGTCCCGCGGCCGAGAGCACGATCAGATCCTGCTCCGCCCCGCCCCACCCAGGTGCTGACGCACGATGGCCTCGTGCACCGGCTTCAGCTCTGGCTCGAGCTGGAACTCCTTCGGCTCACCCTTCGTCGAGATGACCATGGCCTTGGGGTTATCCATCTTGATGTCGATGAGCTGGTCGTCTTTGTAGCGCGTGTGAGGGCAGTCCACGCCGGGCGACGGCGCCAGCTTGTCCTCGAAATCCATGCCATTGAAAATGTCCTGCCCTGCGAAGTTGGCCTCCCTCTTTGTGCAATCCATCCGCCTGATCTTGATAGGCACCCCATGCAGCATCATGAGGTCGCCCGCATCAAGGTCCTTCACTTTCGTCTTGAAGAACTGCTCGCCTCCGAGAGCGACGAGTTCGCCCTCCAAGGTGCCGTCGATGGTGTCGATGATCTTGCGCTGCCCGCTGGGCTTCAGAGCATCGCCATCGCCGACGACAGCTGGGTCCTCTGGGCCCTCGCATGGCCCTGACTTCTCCCCAGGATTCGGCCTGGGGTCCGTCTTCCCACAACCCAGGAACTCGCCCTCGGCGCGCTGCAGGAACTTGTCGGAAGGGCGTACCTGGTTATCCGCACTGGAGAAGAACTTCAGCTGGTCGCCCTCGGCCTGTTCCAGCGGTTCTTCTTCGCCTTCAGCACGTCCTGGTCCTGCGGGGCCGTCGCCTTCCTCTTGGCGCCTTTGCCCACCAGATCCCAAGCCTCCTCCTCGCTGGAGTCGGGGCTGGGAGCCCGTCTGCACAGGGTGAACGCTTTCTCCGCATCCGATTGGAGCAAGCTCTGGCCACAGTAGCTGAGCTCTAGCAGCGTGAGGAAGATGCCCCGCCCGATGTTCGCCTCCCGGCGAGTCTCTCCCCAAGCACCGCTCGCCATCATCCGACGCCTTGGTGGTGAGGCAGGCCTCCTTGCGCAGGGCGGCCTCGCCTCCCAGGTCGGAGCCAGCGGCTTCTTGCTCGTCAAGCGCTTGGCCGCCGCCGCGGTCTCCTGGATCTTGGGCTCTTGGTACTTTGAAGGGGAACTGGGACACACAAATAAATACGCACAAATAAACATGTTCGCCATATTTTCCCATATTTTCTGGGTTTTTGTCTTCCCCCCCCACTTCCCATATTTTCATATATTTTCTGGGAATCGCCGATTAATTGTGTCTGTGTGTTTTTTTCCCCTCCTGATACTTCTTGTCCTTCAGCAGGTCCAGCCCCTCCAGGCGCCACGCCGCCTTCAGAGCCTTGGCCCCGTGCCTCTTCTCGGGGAGCGCCCCGTCCAGCCCGCAGCCCAGCGTCATCACGGATGGAGATCTCCACGTGCGGGGCCCCGGGCACACCGACCAGCCGCTTGACGACATCCTCGGAGTTATCCAGACTGGCGAGCCCGTGGCCGAGGTGCACGACGACTCGCACACGCCGCCCTGACTGGCGCGGCGCGGCTGCGCCGCTTCCAATAGCGCCGCGCCAAGCGAGAGCTGCCTCAAAATCGCGCGCGAGCGCCCCGCTGGGGGCGCGCGAGGGGCGCGCAGGCGGCTCTCGCCGAAACGGCTTCGAGGAGGAGGAGGAGGAGGAGGAGGAGGAGGAGGAGGAGATGACGAAGAGAAAAATAACGATGTCCCGACCAGAGGCCCCGATCCCTTCTTCAACGCCGGGTTTTCATCCCGAGTCGTCCCTGGCGGTCCCGAAAGATCCGAGTCGTCCCTGGCGGTCCCGAGAGACCCGACGAGGGCCCCGAGAGGCCGCAGACGGCAAGACAAAACCATCCCGTCGTGACTTGCTGAGGACGGAGCGGGGAAGAACGAGCACACGAGGAATGCGATGAGGATGCCCCGAAGAAGGACACCTGCCCGCTCGTGCGATCGACTGGGTAACCGGCGTGTGAGGAGAGTCTAGAAGAAGAAAGAACGCCATAGACATAAACTTTTGGCGCTTTGCGCGGACTTCTTGGATCTACGCTGGACCCCCCTCCCTGGCTCGCGGAGCGCGCCTGGGGCGGCGCCAGAGACGCCGCTGGATACGATCCGGCCGCTCCCGCCCGGCGGGTTGGGCCGTGCGAGACCTCTCTGACAAGACTGTCCGAAGAGACTCCTACAAGCTTCTATGAGGACTCTGACCCACAACCCAGGCAAGGTGGCGGGATCACTCCAAGACGCCGACAAACTCCCAGGGAGCGGCCCGTGATGCGCCGCCGGCGTCCTCGATGGTCGGGCCGAGCACGAGGCATGCGACGAGGATGCCCCGAAGAAGGACAGCTGTCCGCTCGTGCGACCGACGGGGCTAACCCGCTCGTGCGGCTAGCCGGGGCGAGCACGAGGAACCGAGACCCCCGACGCCATAAGTTGGAGGGGGAGGGGGTCCTCCTCCTGCTCCTCCTCCTGCTCCCTCCTCCTCCTCCTCCTCCTCCTCCTCCTCCTCCTCCTCCTCCTCCTCCTCCTCCTCCTCCCACCCCCCCTCCAGCTCATTGTGGTGGTGGTGGAAAGCAGGCCACTCGAGACAGAGGTCTGGACCCCTTCCCAGGGGCCGGCTTTTGATCCCGAGTCGCTTCTTGACGCTCCCGGGGACCGGCGAGGGCCCCCAGGGGCCGAGAGTAGCGAAGAGCCTCGCGCCGCGAGATCTTCACGACGCGAGGGGGTCTGGAGGAGGAG